CCCCCCCCAGTGCTTCGTACTGATAAAAATAGCTAATATAACCAAAGCTATAGGTTACTATCATATTATTTGTTTATTTTTTGACACTTTAAATAGGTACTGTTGCGATAAAAATAGATAAAATCGTGTTTACCATTTTTGAATATTTTTTTTTTATTTTATTTTTATTTGTAGGTTGGCACAGGAGGATCAACTCGTATGCAAGATGGGCGAACCTCCCTTTCTACATGTTGGTGCCATTCCTTCATCAAGAGGCCGCCTCGTCACCATGCAGATGCGCCTGGTCGCCGGGCAAGCCCTGCGTCTTCAGCAGACCACCACCTACGTATACATGCACATCCAGGGCAAGATCAAGTTTAAGTTCTTTATTAACTTTAAGTCTTGCGACTTATCAGTGTACGACGCTGTAGGACCAGGTATGTTCTAGACATTATATTTGTAAATAGATAAAATATATAAATATCATATACTTTAACTTAAAACGATCACATATAATTTAAAGACGATTTCTTTGTTAATGTATAATAGCTACTATTAAAATATAGTTATATAGACAGATGCCACTTTGCAGTCATCTCCACAACTGCCTTACTATGGCACCAAAAGACACTTAAAGTCAGTGTTCCCAAATTGATACCAATTTCCAACCTTAAGTAAAATAAAACTCTTTTGTTTCTTGAAAGAGGAGGCCCCCACGTGGCAAGAACTGATTCCGGTATACATCATTTAAATACATATATTTCCATTTGCTCTTCATTGCCACTATATAACCTTACCAAACAAAATGAAAATATATCAGATCATTCTTCTCACATAACTCCCATTGGTGTAGTGATTTGAAGAACTTGTTCGTGACGTGGTGACTAAATGACGTCGTTTTGACCAACGTCACTATACTAAGTGTAGTTATGTTGTATAAAGGTGAATATCCTCAAGGTGGAATATATTGATTAAATTGTTAAAATTAGGGATCGGTGATTTTGTGTATATTTCCACGAACTATATATTTTTTACCGGGAACGGTCACGTGTACTCATGACGTCACACGAACAGGTTCCTATTGACAGACAGCGCGAAATTTGACTTTGAAATGAGATAAAAGGTTGGAAATTTAAGGAAAACTTGAATTAAAAAACGGAAATATAAGTTTTAAACTGCCTTCTGTGGAAAGTTTTTGTCCTATAATTCTCACAGGATTGCAGACAAATAAATCACAACGCGCTATATTCAATTTGTCTGCAATCCTGTGAGAATTATAGGACAATAACTCTTCAAAGAATGCAGTTTAATGCTTAAATATCCACGCAATGTGATGATATATACCGGCTAACATCCTCTTATAATAAATGACGTGTACTATTTATTACTCTGGTTTGGCTGGGGAGATGACTAAATGACTAGAAAAATATTTCACTTTCGCGCTCTTCACCCCTGGAATAGATGTCATAGCCAAATTGAAGGCACGCGGCCAATTATTTGATTGGTCTCAGATTAAAAACAACCTGACCAATCGCTAGGCTGATTCATGTCCTTTGAAGATTACAGAGGAACGGCACCCGACTCTAAAACTAGTCAATGTTACCGTTACGCGACTGACAGATTCTTTAAATGTACATCAAAGGATCAAACTAGTCCTCTAGTCTCACTCACAAGATGGCGAACACTTAGCCTTCGATTTTGTCATGACATATTCCAGGGTTGCAGAGAGCGACTGTGAGCGTAGCCCCTGGATAATCGAGGATGATGTCATCTATGACAATAACAAAATTGTAGAAATGTACTTTGGATATATACATATATATATTCAAGCATGCTTGTACTGTGTCTATTACCTCCATCGCTTATCTAGATTACTTTTCATCATTTTAACAGTATACAGTGTTCTACAGGCACAACTACATCATAGTCAGAATATATTATCAAGATGTAACATGATTTAATTTCGTACTTTTTAAGTTGAGTGCATTTGTGATGTTTGAATTTTCTTGCAATACTGTTACCAGTTAGCATTTCTTCCTTTCTTCATGACAACTTCCCGAGGTTTACAACTTGCGCACATTTTACTGTATATCATGCTTAAAAGATTCCCTTCTGAATATGTCGTATTCCTTCAGGTTCTGACTAACAAGAACGCTTCCTACATACATCACTCATGTATCCCTTCCAATTCCTTACTTATTGCTAACTTCTTCACCTACCTTAGCATGTATATTTACATTATGCTATATTAACATATCACTATGTCAAGTTCTATTATTGCTATAATAGCATGACTGACAACACACGTTTGCATGAACTTTATGCACTCTGCGATATTTTTTTATAAAGATGAATGTGATAAAATCTTAGAAATAGTATTAGTGTAACTAATTAATATGTATCGTTTATGTGGAATATACACTTTTAGCTAAAGATGTATTTCATTCTCAATACTAATGTGTATTATCAATGCAAACGACAGAATGTTTGATGCTTCAGAAATATGTGTCTGAAAAAGTGTATGCAGGGTAAGTGATTGGCCAAACCTCTAACTATTATACATCACACGTGTGAGGATTGTTTCCTGGCTTGAAATGTGCCAGACCATTGATAAAAACGCTTAAGAAGAATACGATTTTTTATTAGCCAATCACGGATCCTCATTGAGACATACCGTACTAAACCAACATGGAAGACCAGGTAATATAATAAATAAGAGTTCAAAACCAAATGCTGCAATGACCTCGACAGATTGCTGGCAGATATACTTCTAATGGAGTTGGTGGTAATTAAGCAGGCAATATAATTCAAAATAATTACGTATGCATCTATGTTAGCTACAACGTTCATTAAATATGTCAAAACACTTCACAAATACATATTATGAAGAATATGCTAGTGCTTACCTAGACATCACACTTTTATTTATTTTCTCTTCAGAATGTGTCTAGAAATGTCTATGTAAAATTGACGATTGACTTAACATCTTATCACACACATGACACCTGTAAGGGGTTTCTCGTGTATGTATCCTGAAGTGTCTCTGTAGATTAGACGATTCATTGTATTCCTTACCAAATAACTAGACGATACACTTGTGTGACTTCTCCCCTGTATGTGTCCTGAAATGTACTCGCATGCGAGACGAGTCACTAAACCCCTTACCACAGATAACGCAAGTGTAAGGTATATCCCCTGTACATGTATGTGTCCTGATATGTCTCTGTAGT